CTCTCTCTCCGACGAAAACGAACCGTAAAACGGAAAGTACCTACCTTACGTAGGAACGAGTTACTTCTTCTATGAGTACTCAGAAACAATATATATATATATATATATATATATATATATATAAAGGCCTCTATTGCTTACCTTTATGCTGACCATATAGTCTTTTTCTTAATGCCAAAGTATGTACTTAGGGTCCTCATAAATCTCCAGACTTGATGGAATGCATTTATGTCAATAAACTTCTTTATTTTTTGGGAGGAGGAAATAGAGGTGCAACGAGTTGTGGATTTCGTAAATGAAACCTAGAATTCTGTATTTATGTAATAAAGAGGCAATAGGACAAGTTATTCCCAGTAGGCTCTGGGTATACTATCTGATTAGTTACCTTTGTTTGCTTTTCTTTTGTTAATTGATTAGTTAACTTGTTAAATTTTTTTAAAACTATACTCCTCTATTTGGAATGAAGTCCATTTATTGAGCACCATTATTCACATGTAGGGTGTGACTGTTGTCGGAGAATCTATTACAGGGTGCATTTGATCGATGCTTTCCTGCTTATTTTATGTGATATACCACTGAAATTTTGTCGGACTATATACTGTGCTAGAAGCAAATGCACAAGATGTTTTCTTTTGTTTAAATGTTTTGCTTGGTGGACAAAGACAGCCATGGACAGGTCCCCGGGTGCGGCAACCACCACATTACATCTGAAGGTGCATAATTTGTTTTATTTGCAGGCTATTTCTTTGATGGGTGGTCTTGCTTATTTGATGGATACAAATGGTGAATTCAGGAATTCTTTCAGCGATGGGTGGGACCATATATTGTCGAAGCATCCAATACCATTCTACTACTGTTTTGGTATGCATTGATTAATCTGCTTTACATATTCATTGTGTGTCTTATCATATGTTCTGTTTCTTGTATTTTGCCCAGAGTTAACAAGAAGCAGCAGTTTTGTCTTCGTGACTACCAATGGATCACCATATTTGTCTCATTTAGAATTGGGATAGTATATCACGATCCAATTGATTATGGTATATGCTACTCCAAGTCATATTCAGAGATTAACAAGATGAATGGCCGTACAACCTCCAATCTAGTTAATATGTCCATTGGACCATAGGATATTTTCCTCTTTTGCAATATCTTGTTACTAAACATACAAGGGAAAAGTTTATATAGGGCTGAGGCTCTTAAAAATCAAATTAGAGCCCACCTAAAAAATTTTACTAGAAGAGGTTGTTTTGATGCCCAAATATCCTCAAGTTGATTATCTCGACATCAAGATGCATGGACATGGGAAAAAAATGGATTTCAAGTTTTGAAAATAGTGTATTTTGTAATGCATTTTTGGACCGTCAATTTTCAAGATTTTCAAGTTTTCATAGGTCCGTCAATTTACACTATTTTATAGGCTTTAAAATTTATAAATAAAGCTGAAAATATACTTTAAGGCTATCACAAAGATTTCCAGTATTGAAACCACATTTTTCGACACTATTTGAAGGTAGGCTCTAATTTAATTGTTTAGAGCCTAGGCTCTATACAAACCTACACCCTACATATAATTACCACTTTTGGGAGGAGATTATGACTTAGAAGAAGAGGGGCCACAATCCTGGACTCACTCTAGCCCTAGAGCATCTGTTTCATTGGCCAGTCACAACCTCATTGGGCTACAGTTTTACATGGCTGGACAATGTCATACTCTTCCTTCGCGTAAACATGGCTGGAAAATGGTATCTTGCATGGTCTTAGCCAGGGGTTTTTGTTTTCTTCGTTATATTGGGAATTGGAGGGTTGTTAGTGCATTGCTCGTCCATCAACAACAATGATCCCTGCATAGCTGGATGCCGCAATTGCTGTTATGGATGGGGCATTTTGGATTGTTTCCCGTTTTCCATGGAAGCTTGTCGTGTTTTGCTTGTCATATTTGTTGTCATTTTTTCCATCCTTGGAATTGCATGTGTACTCCTTGCTGTAACCATGGCTATTCAGAGGATATGCAGAAACATTAACACATTCTCACCAAGAGGGAGCTCACAAAGGCAAGAATCCCATTCCTCCCTTGATTTCTCTCCAATTTTCTTACCCTGTTTTCTTTCATCCGTTTTCTTTTATCGGAGAGGAATCTGTAAGCACAATGGAGATGGTATATAGTGTACTTTCAAAGGGGAATCCACTGTCAATGACAGTGGAGTGGAGACTAACTATTCCTTAATGAATGTCCCAACGGGGACTTTCCACGGTTTATCTCCATTGTCCATCGTCAGGAATGGATGCATGGTGGCTTTGGGACTACTGTATTGCCTGCTCTATTGGATTATAGTATCTCTTTTTACGAGATGTCATCATCATAGACCATATTTTTATTTTGTTATCACTAAAATAAATAAAATAAATAAATAAATAAATAAATAATCCCATATATATGTTGTTGAAGATCTTCAGGGGTGCTAAACACCTTCAAAACTGGACCATGAACATGAACAACAGCTGAAGCAGCTCATGTTTTTGTAGATATGGACTGCATGTTTGTCAGTCCCAAGCTCAGGTTATCCGTGATTGTTAATTGGAAAAGGTGATAGTTTGTTTGTGCTTTGGCTTCTTGGTGGATTGAAAGAATCATATCTATTGGGTAAGTATGTTGCGGCGCTGGCCTTTCCGAAATGATGGCAAACATATAATATCCATTTGAAGTCGGTGTCAAGTGTGTTATGATGTAGTCACTTAGAAATCACTAGCCATGCGTACTTTTCATCTCCTGAGCTGGCTTACCCATCTGGTGATCAGTCTGTTTTGGGGAGTCAAATGTAAGCCCATCCAAGCAATTGAAAGGGGTTAGATGCACCATATTAGTTAGAACTCCCTTTTGCTGAGAATACTGAATGGAAAAGGATTCTTAACATTTCCTATTATTTATAATAATCCAAGTTAAAAACCTATCTAGATGATCGCCTGTTCATAATTTTTGGCCTTTTAATGCATCTGGCTCCTTTCCTTCAGTGTCTATCATGTTGAAATTTTCATAAATATCTTATAGTTTTCTTTAAAAATATCTCGGATTTTCATATTGTTTTGCTCATGGCCTTTTTTTCTTCCATGATTACTTAATTTTTCCATGTTTGGAAACTCAAATTTCAAAACTTGCTCGTTGTCTTCGAAGTGACACGAGTTTGGAACTTTAAGATCCATACCAGGTCTTTTGTATTCGTATATTGGAACTTCAAAGTTCACGAATGGGTTTTTTTCTTTATTGCGAAAGATTGGTGCGGAACTTCAAGTCCGGACAGGTCACTTCAATTCCGAACCAAGTCGATGAATCGGTTTGGAACTTTCCAAACGCCATACCCCTTCTCTATAGACTGCTTGGAGAGAAGGAAGAATAATGTGTTCCCTCAGGGGCACATTGTAAACATTGTCCCAAAAAAGATTTTATTAGAGTGATAAACTAACTTTTATTTATTTATTTATTTTTTCTTTTTTAATAATTTTTTATTATGTACAGGGCTTTAAAAAACCACGAGTCGACCCAGAATCGTCCGGGTCAACACAAAAATCAACCATCCCGTGTCAGTTCCTATGGAATACCGGAAATTGGGTGTCTAGAGAGGAATCGCCGGTTCTCAGCGATATGCTACAGTGAATCGGGCGAGTGGACACGACACAGCTACCTACATGTGGCCGTCGATATCCAATATCGCTGCTACAATGAATCGGGAGATATGCTACAGTGAATCAGGTGAGTGGACACGACACAACTACCTACATGTGGCCGCTGCGATATCCAATATCGATGCTACAATGAATCAGGCGAGTGGACATGTGGCCATCGATATCCAATATCGATTCTGGGTCGACATAGAAATCGACCACCCTGTGTCAGTTCCTATGGAATACCGGAAATCGGGCGTGTCTAGAGAGGAATCGCCGATTCTCAGCGATATGCTACAGTGAATAGGGCGAGAATCAGGTGAGTGGACACGACACAACAACCTACACGTGGCCGTCGATATCCAATATCGATGCTACAGTGAATCAGGCGATATGCTATAGTGAATCGGGCGAGTGGACTCGACACAGAATTGGGCTAGGGGACACGAGATAGCTACCTACATGTGGCCGCTTATCGATGCTACAGTGAATCGGGCGAGTGGACACGACATAGCTACCTACATGTGGCCGTCGTGATATCCAATATCGATGCTATAGTGAATCAGGCGAGTGGACGCCGATATCTAATATCGTTGCTACAGTGAATCGCGCGAGTGGACACGACATAGCTACCTACACGTGGCCGCTGTGATATCCAATATCGATGCTATAGTGAATCAGGCGAGTGGACACGACACAACTACCTACATGTGGCCGCCGATATCCAATATCGATAAATATATGCTGCCTGACAGCAGCCACACATGGCAACCTCAAACCCGTTGACGTGGCACCTCACCTCAAACGTCATATGGGAAGCCCCCGTGCTTTTACGCGTGCATCAAGAGTCCTTATCACACAGCTATTTATAGAGAGAAATGTTACACTCGTCCTTCGATGTTGGATTAATATAACGTTGAGAGTTGCGACAGTAATATAATGTATATATTTATTATAGAAATAAAAGACCCATTCAGTGATATGGTGCAGTTGGTTATCATTATCGATTTTAGCTTAAGCGTCCCAAGTTTGAACCCTCTAGGTACTATTTTAGTGTCTTATTTTTAAAATAAAAAATAAAAAGTAATATAACAAGTATTTCTTGTCAAAAAATAAAATAAAAGGTACCTTGGCATCATCATTTTCTTATTTTTTGATTAAAAAAATAAAATAAAAGGTAATACAATAAGCAAAAAAAAGGTAATACAACATCTTATTTTTCTTGTCAAAAAAATTAAATAAATGGTAATACAACAAATATCATATTTTCCTTGTAAAAAAAAACAAAAAAGGTGATACCACAAGTATTTTTTGTCAAAAAAAATAAAAGGTATTTCTCAATACAACAAGTATTTCTTAATACAACCTAGGAATCAATGATGTAATTCTATTTTTTATTTTTATAACATGGTGATCTTTAACATAAATTTAGGAATATGAATTTAATGATAGGGTTCATTCAATGAGGCAATTTGAAATCTCTCTCTCTACTAACAATCTCTTCCACTAAATTTATTCTAGAAACTTAAAAAATTAAATTTTTGAAAAATTAAAGTGTTATTTAAAAAATTGGTACGCATTCTAATAATTTTTACATTGATAACCAAATATTTTATTTTATTTATTAATTTATTTGCATTATAAATCATGTAGTGCACTATTTACATTTGTCAATCATATATTTTAAATTAGATGATATTATAAGATATTTTAGATTTGTTATTATTTATATAATAAAATAATCATAAAATATAAACCAACAATTTCAATTTCAGTATATAATATTATAATTAGTTAGATTGTAATAATTTTGGATTATAGTTAGTTGGGTTGCAATAATTTGGGTTTTTTTTGAGCTGATTAGGTTTCCTGCTAATTCGAGATTTTAGTAGCTATTTTTTCATCGATTTAATCTATTCTTTTATTGTAGTCTATGTATGATTATATACTTCATCCATGATAATTTTATGATTTTTCTTTCTTGTGATGCAAATTTAATGGTTAACATAAGTTCATACAAAGAAAGAACATCTCAATATTCACAAATTGATGAAAAAAATGAAAGTTAATAATGTAGTACCCACATTTCTTATTAGATTCCTAAAAAACAACATTTGTATTGAATTTTAATAAATTTTTTGGATTTTTTTTAAGGCTTAATTCAACCGATTCTCGATCCAGATCGTTGATTCACCGATCCGGATGGGTTTTTGTGGGGCCTGATATGGGGCACCGATCCGTTATTTAAACCGCTAGTTAGAAACATGATAAAACATCAATCATCATGGTTCTAATAGAATCGAAACTTGCTCAAGAGCAAGGGCAGATATACCAACCGATGAGAGAGGAAATTTAGGTGGGTTCGGGACTTACTCGGGTTGGCTCGCGTGGGCGCCCTCTTAGATCATGTTAGAAAGCCCCCCAGCCGCTTTAGCTGGTTCGGAATCGCCTCCCTTAACTTGTAATCTCATTGTTTTTTTGCACAATACTACTATGGTTAATTTGCAAGACAAGTGGGTCAAAGAGGCCCACCCTTGTCTTAGGGCATTGCACATCCTCGTGGCTAAGAATGTACGGGGTTAGAGTGATGAAGTGGAAGTTTCGAGCAAAGGTCGAAAAAAGAAGAAAACTTGATGAAGGGATGAGAGTAGCTTGGTAGTCGGATAGTGACCGACTCGGATTGGTAGTAACACGAGCATGGTACTCGGGCCCAGCACGGCGGCAATACTACTCGAAACTGAGACTAATGTGGCGATGCTAGGTTAAGTCCACCTCAATCAAGTGAGGAGAGAAAAGAGTGAAGGGAAGGAAAGAGAGCGAGACGGTGGAGGGGATAGGGTTCCGGTGGCGCTAGGCATGGCCACCCATGACCATGGAGTAGCAGTTTCACGGCCTTGACACGGCGCTAGACACTATTGCTCATGGCTAGAGGGTGAGTAGAGGACTACAAACAGCGCTAGACATTGTCGTTGGCAACATAAGAAGGTAATGTGCCCCTGCACGGGCAATGATAGCCTCTCATGGAGCGCATGGCAATAGCCATTTGCGAAGCGCGCGACGATAGTTCTCATGAGGCGCATGACGACAGGTGTGGGATGCAAGAAGGACGACGATGAGCACCGAATGCGCGGAGGAAGCTCACGAACGGCGATGAGCACTGAGTCCGTGAAGGAAGGTCGCGGACGGCGATAGGCGTTGACGAGGCCTCTAGCGGATGGCAATAGATATTGCCGTCTGTGATAGGCACACAACAGGGGAAGACCCCTGCGGGCAGCAACGAGTTTCACCGTCTAGGCTCTTCACTGAGATGTCGAAGCTACGTCTACGGACGACGATGAGCAACGCCGTCTGTAGGCCTCACTAGGAGAGAGAGAGACAGACGAATAGAAGCAGAAGAAGACTCGCGCATGGCACTACCATCACCATGCGCGACCTGTGACACCACGGGAGAGGCATGCACGGCATTGCCACTGCTGCACATGGCCTCCACGAGGAACTCAGACGGAGAAGAGGAAGAAGAAAGAGAGGAAGAGAAAGAAGAAGAAGAAGAGAGAAGAAAAGAAAAGGTACAGAGAGAAGATCTACCTCAAGCCTAGGGTACCAATCAAAAGTTTCTCTCACCTTGCTCTCTCTCTCCAAACTGACCCAATAATGATAAGAAAGAAAAGCTGTATTAGGTAAAAACTCTATCTTTTGTGAAGGATTGAATTTGTCTTCTTTGTGCGTACAACGATAGTACGTATATATAGAATTTTCCCCAAACATGGGTGGATGATCCAAAGTAACCTTAATTGCTGAAAATTAAGATTAAAATGACTTAAAAGAAATTAGAAAATAGGGTGCATAATGACAGATTTGCCCCTTCTTAACAATTTGTAGAATTCCATAACAGTCCCTATGTTACCCTAAAACATGCATGATTTTTCATCGATGATTTAGGGTTGTTCTGATGCCCAGTTGATCGAAAAATGATTGTTTTATGGTAGAGCTCAGCATGGGGATCGGTTTGATACCAACTTCGAGCCAGGGATTGTGTTTTTAGTGCACAATCCCGTGACTTTAAATTTGAATGGATCTTGAAACTTCGGATTGATAGTGTGCTCGTTTCTTGATATTTTTTGATGATTTCCTTGCTAGATCACACTGAGCATGACGTCACGATCATGTGGCAACAAACACAGCTCGATTCCATGCCCAACAAAGATTTTGCAACTTTGGAATTTTGGCCGGAATCTGAAATTTCGGCGACGGAATTTGCAGTCTCTTCATTCTCTTTATGTGCAGAATCCGATCGTTCATCATGTACATGTTCGGGTCAGAGATGGCCCGAGAACTTACGCATGCAATGGAATTAGTCTCGTGTTGATTGGGTTTTCGAGTAGCACGATTTGGCTACTCAAGGGAGGCACGATGCTGCTGAATTTCCTGCACTTTCTTCACGGATCAACAACTCCTCTCTAGCTTTTCTTCGCGCTCGGGTATCGTCATGGGCATGCCACATATTGAATCGCTCATCTTGATATGAAGAACATGCTCACCAAATTTGAGCATGATCCAACTTGAGATGGGTGAGATATGAGCGTCGAAAGTCACTGTTCGTGACTGTCCCTTCAATGGTGTGGAGTTGCAGGGTGACCGCGTGGGAATAGCGTGCGGCTCCATCTGTTTAACTCTTTACCTATAACGTTTTCTTGGAGTGTCCATTTGAGCTAAAATTTGACCTCTAGGGGTTTTCAACTGTGCCGGATCCAATGGTGATGATCTCATAGCAATTTGAGACGCTAAAAATGTAGCTCTAGTTATAAGGGTTGTTTCAGAGTGCTAGAGTCGATTTTGTCAGATTTGTTTCTTAGTCTGCATTGCCTTAGACATGTCGGAATGTGTCGAAACTTGACGAGAGACTTTAAGAGACCTCATGAAGATCTTAGCCAGTTCCGGGGCCATTATGAGACTGTCAAAATTTCTATTGTTTTTAATAAGCTTTTATTGAGCGGGGGCCCCATGATGATGAAAAATATCTTCCAACACCTATACTCTGGATAACCTGGCTCAAATTTACATTAAAGAGATAGTAAGGTTACATGGAGTACCTATTAGTATTGTGTCCGACAGGGACTCTAGATTTACTTCAAGATTTTGGAACATTCTAGAGTCAGCTTTGGGGACCAAACTCACTTTCAGTACTACTTTCCACACTCAGACTGATGAACAGTCGAAAAGGACTATTTAGACCCTAAAAGATATGTTGAGGGCCTGTATTACCGATTTCAAAGGAAACTGGGATGATCATCTACCTCTGATAGAGTTTGTTTAGAACAACAGTTTTCAGGCCAGTATCCAGATGGCACCTTTTGAGGCACTATATAGGAGGAAGTGCAGATCACCCATATGTTGGGATGAAGTCAGTGAGAGGAGATTGTTAGGACCAGAGATTGTTCAGATAACTTCAGAAAAGATTTCTTTAATTCGAGAAAGGCTCAAAACAGCTCAGAGTTGGCAGAAGAGTTGCGCCGATAATTGGAGAAAAGATCTTGAATTTAAAGTGGGTGATCGGGTCTCTTTGAAAGTGTCGCCAACTAAGGGCATAATGAGATTTGGAAAGAAGGAAAAACTAAGTCCACGATTTATTTGACTTTTTGAAATTTTAGAAAGTATTGGAGTCGTGGCATATCGACGGCCCTGCCGCTCGAGTCGACCAATATTCATGATGTTTTTCATGTTTCATTATTGATGAAGTATCAGCCTGATCCGTCCCATGTCTCGAAGTATAAACCGATCCCGATCAGGGAAGACTTGACTTATGTTGAACAACCAAATGAGATTTTGGATAGGAGGGTTCAGCTTTTGCGTAACAAAGAGATTCCCCTGGTCTGGGTTCTATGACAGTATCATTCACAAAAAGAATCAACATGGGAATGAGAAGATGAAATCTGAAACAAATACCCCCATCTGTTTAATAAGTTACGATTTTGAGGACAAAATCTTTTTTAAGGGAAAGGGGGGGGGGGGGGGGTAGGTGATGTAAGGACCAATAT